TTTTAGTGTAGCATTTAAACAGACAGTGTACTATAAGGTAAATAATGAGTTACACGGTAAGGAGAGCAATTTCCAGTTTTAAAAGTAAAGATTTGGAAGCATTGGTTTGGGGACTTATAGTCCACAGAAAATTTATGATTTAGTCTAAATTGAAGAAAAATAAAAATAAACACTCAAAAACAGCTAGCAACAGGTGTACTATAGTTTTTGGAACATAATTTTTCTCTCTCCAGTCCCTATTTATATTAAAAACAAATTATGATAGGACTGATTTGTTTGCAAAATAAACTTTAGTTTTATTATAGTTGGGTTGATTATTCACATAAAGCACAGCAAGAATAATTTTTTTTCACATAGGTTTTTATACATTGGCTTTGATGGAATTCTTTTCCACAGGAATATTTTCAAAGCCAAGCATAGCCATGGATTTGTACCCTCAAATACCTGTGAGTTGGGAAAATTCCTCTCCTCTTAACATCCCCTGATAACTTGGGGTTTCTGGTCCTGTCAGAAAGTGCATTTTTTTACTTATCACAGGCCAGAAACACTGTACAGGACCATGTGGAGAAAGTATGAGGCAAGTTTTAGCAATGGCTTTTATTGGCTTTACAAGTCAGATTTGATTCCTTAAAGGAAAGCGTGCTACTCCAGGTAAAGCCTCGGTAAAATAACCAGTTTTTCCAAGTGTGCCCTGTTACAAAAGTAAACAGATTCTGACTGTACTTATGCAAATAACTATATTGCTGTAAATGAAGGATGCTCACAAATTCTGGAGAAATCACGTCGAGATAAACAGATATGCTCCACATTTGGTTCATAGGAGTATATGTTACTCAATTGCTACAAGCTATAAGTAGCTTAAAAGAGGTTTCCTTCACTCTGAAAAACAAAGCAGAGGATCAATGGTATTTTAAGCAAAGTTAGAAAGATTACTTTAGACTTTTATTAATTTAGTTCACGCAGTTAACTTTTGTTTGACATTTATGAACACTTCAGCTCTCCATGAGACTTCCAGAAGTTTAGTCCTTTATTCTAATGTCATAATCTGCAAAATTATTAGAAACTTGCAATCAAGAGCAGCTGTCCATGATGCATAGCTGATTATAAAACCATCTTTAAAAGGGAACCAAATGAAGACAGCAATTGTCTGTGGATGACATAAATGTTTTCATCAAAACAACTAACGACACAATTGACAAGAAAATTTGTTACCTTTTTGGCACACAATAATTCACACCAACAATTACAATTATTATTGAAGACACACTGAGGCATATCAGAATTATAGGAATTTTATACAATTTTACAACACATGCTAATAACAAATTTATATAAATAAAACCTAAAGAAAGTTAAACATCATTTTATATTTCACAATGTTTTCTGGATGATTTTTTTTTCTTTTTTCCCATTTATTTATTTTATTGCATTTTAGGCTTTGGGGTACATGTGAAGAACATGCAAAATTGTTGCATAGGAACACACGTGGCAGTGTGATTTGCTGCCTTCCTCCCCATCACCTACATCTGGCATTTCTCCCCTTGCTATCTCTCCCCAGCTTCCCACCCCCCACCGTCCCTCCCCTATTTCCCCCCAACTGACCCCAGTGTGTAGTGCTCCCCTCCCTGTGTCCATGTGTTCTCATTGTTCAACACCCGCCTATGAGTGAGAACATGCGGTGTTTGATCTTCTGCTCTTCTGTCAGTTTGCTGAGAATGATGGTTTCTAGGTTCATCTGGATGATTTTAATACATTAAATAAGTCAGTGTGTCTTTTGGACTTTAGGGGAATTAATTTTTTTTCCTTTATTTTAAGTTTGAGCTTGATTTTGAAACTTTTCTTATCAAAGGTTTAATATACTGTATATTACAAAATAGAATCTTAAGTTACCATCTCATTCATTTAGCCAAAATGATAACTTACAAATTTTAAAAAGGAAAACCCATTATTTTTATAGGAGACTCAACTTTCCAAACAAGTCCCAATGAAGATAGGATGAGGCCAACTAAGTGTCTCCTTTCTCTTGGGAGGTTTCAGTGGCAGGATTGCTTAAGTCCAGGAGTTCAAGACCAGCTCGGGCAACACAGCAAGACCTTGTCTCTACTAAATTTACACACAAAAAATGAGCTGAGCATGGCGGTACAGCACCTGTACTCCCAGCTACTCAGGAGACTACAGCAGGAGAATCCCTTTAGCCTGCGGGTCCAGGCTGCAGTAAGCCATGATCATGCCACTATACTCCAGCCTCGGAAATAGAGTGAGATTCGGACTTAAAAGCAAAAATTTGCTCAAAGATTATCCTGGCTTACAGAAGTAAGGCCTTTACAATGGCAGTATCTCTTAAAAAGACATATTTTCATTCCAATTCTTAGAACTTCAGGTTGTTTTTGGGGTTGATGGTATGGGGTTGAACAAGAGGGAGAGGGTGGGTTGACACTGATGGTAAATGGTGCTAAAGTTAAGACAGAAAAGACAAAACAAATGAAATGATGATTAAAGTTTGGTGTATATTAAGTATGAAGCACTGCAGTACAACAAAGAGGCGACACCCAATTGAGAGTTGAAATAAATCTCACACTCTTGAAAAAGGAGAGGTAGCTATAGATTTGGAAATGATTGTGCTCTATAGATAACATTTAATATTAAGGACATGGATAAAATGATACAGGGAAACCATTTACAATGGAAAGAAAGGTAGCCAATTATAGGAAAGACTGCTGAAGATCTGACTAGTCTGCTACTTGAGCTGAATGATATCTACAGGCATGGGGCACTGTGGGTTAATTTCCCTGGTGCCACTGTGTTGAATGTAAAACAATGCCTTGAAAAGTTGCTTTGACATTTTATGCTTTACAAATTTTTAAACAACAGAAAACCATTTCGTTGATTTTGCCAGCTGCACAATTAATCAGTATATTTTAAGGGTCAAACATATAGAATTTATTTCAGTTCTTGAGAACATCTTGAACTTCTGGTTCACTTTTATGAAGTGTTTTCACCAACACTACATATAAAAGTATTGCCTAAGACCAGTGACATGTAGGTAGTTAATTATGCTGGAATATAAATAAAACTGTTCTATTCTTGATGTTGCAATCCTTTGAAAGAAAAATCACCTTTTCCTCATAAAGGAATACCTGCTTGACAAGTTAAATGGCTCTTGTTGATGTCACATGTTTATCTCCAGCATCAAAGATTGATTGTCAGAGTTGCCAAGAAATTTCTGGTTACAACACCCACCTGTGGATGAGGGCTCCAAAAAGAATGGGAAAGAGGCAAGTGGGTAGTGAAGAGCCAGGGGGTGTGTGTGATATGACTTGTTTTGCAGAGTCAGATCTTTTCAACTCTGCAAAGTTCAACAGTGTCAAAGTTATAATTTTATCCAAGGTCGCTGAGGACCAGTTTTTATCTTTTCATTCAACTAAGAGTCTTCTAATCCTGAATAATATCACACTACCCACGCAAACAGACTGACAGACATGTAAATAAACAGACAAATGTCAAACAAAGTCTTACTAAATGCAGCCACCAATATAGTAGTTGAAACATTTTTAATTCTTTTTTTATGTTAAAGAAATGCAGCCTTTATCATATATATATTGAGGTTACATAAGATTGGATTCAGGGGAAAATAGTTTCATTGTTAATAAATGCTTAAGAACCACTGATAATAGAAACACGAGAACTCTGGACTTGAAAAATGAAGACTTTGTTTCACATCCATAATCCGCCAGTGACTAGCTCAGTGAACTTGAGTCAATTGCTTAAACATTTTGGGCTTCAGTTTAAATCTACAACACAAGAGAGAACTGTGTTAGCATCTTTTAAAAAACCCACAACGTAGAAAACACATAAAAATAACCTATATGAGTGACACGGTTTGAATTTGTGTCACTGCCCAAATCTCACATCGAATTATAATCCGCAGCGTTTGGGAAGAGGGTCCTGGTGGGAGGTTGTTGCATCATGGGGGTGGAGTTCTCCCCTGCTGCTGTCATGACAGTGAGTTCTCATGAGACTTGGTTGTTTAAAAGTGTATTGCACCTCCTCCTTCGCTCTCTTCCTCCTTCGGCCATGTAAGACATACCTGCTTCCCCTTGCCTTTCCACCATAATTGTAAGTTTCTCTCAGACCTCCCCAGCCTGTAGAACCATGAGTCAATTAATCCTTTTTTCTTTATAAATTACCCAGTCTCGGTTATGTCTTTATAGCCGTGTGAGAATGGATTAATACAATGAAGATTAAGAATCTCAGGAGATACTTGAATATTTGAAAAGAAGCTGGCTGGTGCAAAAAATGTCTAGTCGGTGAAAAATGTGGAAAAATTATCTTTTTCTCAGATTCGTCTCAACTTACTCATCTCATCTCAGCTACATAACACTCCCTTGCTCTTTCTTTACTTTAGCTAGTGACTCTACTTACCATGTTGCTCAGAAGAATATGAAGGTCAAATGGGCCAGTATACAGAATTCATACATACCCAAAGGTATTATTGTAAGGCATATTCTATGCCTACTCATGGAGACCTTGAGGTTGACTTTCACTAGATGTTGAACACACATGATGAGATTCTCACACCCTGAACTTGCCTGATCTCATCAGACGTCTTTAATTCTACAACTTTTTTCTTTACTACAGAATATAGTAAAGGCTGAAGGTGGTATATGGATGAGATGGTGAAGAATGCCTAAGAATGATTTAAAACATAGCATTTGTAATTCTGAAATTCACCACTAAACCCACTATCCTTGTGAAAATTTTGCTACCTTACTTGGAGAAGCATGGCCTTAGCAAAACAGCTGTGATAATATTAGAGATGTAATGTAAGTCTCAACGTAGAGACTTATTCATTGACTCAAGATATACTTATCTGTATATATTTAAGGTGTTGTTACTGAATGAAAATTAAGAAAATGATATATAGTTTCTTTTCCTCAAGCTTATACGCTTAGTGAGATAAACACACACACACACACACACACACACACACACACACACACACACACAAAACTACTCCAGATCATGTAAGACAATGGAGAAACATACAATTTAGGAAATCTACCTCGAGGAGGGTGGGATAAACATGATTCCACAAAAGGGGTGCCACTTGAAAATCTTCCCACCTCAGCCTCTTGAACAGCTTAATCCCCAGGAATGCATCATCATGCTCAGCTAAGTTTTGTATTTTTATTTTTTCTGTAGAGACAGGGTTCCGCCCTATTGCCCAAGCTGGCCTCAAACTCCTAAGCTGAAGCAATACTCCCACTTTGGCCTCCCAAAGTGCTGAGATTACCATGCCTGGAATAAATTTATTTTTATCTAAAAATCAGAGGCCTTAATCTGATGTTGCATTTCATAACCAGGACTTTAATTCAAATAAGCAGATAAGTCAGCAGTAAAGAAAACACAGAAGTTGGGTTATGAAACTGTGGGGCCACAGAAAAATTTGAATTCAGATCCTGGATGTTAGGCTTAAATATATGATGTATTTCTTTCCTCCTTATAATAAAAGGAGATAAAATTGAGCTAACCTGGCATTCTAAGTTCCTCTGAACTCAGGGAACTCTTCCTCTTTCGATAATTAATTCCTACAATGATAAAACCAATTAAGGTAGCACTTCTTCGAAGAAAAAGAGAGGAACTAGGAATTTGTATCTTTATTTTCTTTGTATCTTTTTTCCTTTTCATAAAGAAACAGTAAAATAAAGGAAAATATCCTTAGCTAAGTAGGTCTGATCTAGTGTGCTGTGATTCTGAGTGATCTTCAAACTACCTTGAGTAACGTTTCTGGCCTGGACACCTAGCTCACTGTGATTACTGTGGTGATATTTAAAAAATTGTTTATATATGACTCTCATTACATACTCCACAGAATTTTACACATCAGTCGTTCTACCACTTTCAAATATCATAGTGATACAGTGATGACACATTTAATGGAAATAAGTTATATTGCTATAACCTGAATCATATTTACAAAAGTCCTTTTTCACATCCTTTTCACTCTAAGGTAGCCCAGGTTTCCTTCTGACTCTGACGTTGTGCCTCCAACAGTAAATATCAAGCCTCTTAAGTTGAATTGCTATTATGGCACTCATGGAACGAGACATGACATAATTCAGTAATTTGGCTCAATTGCTACTCTATAATCAATCTGTTCATTGTTGACCATGAATTTTTAAGGATAGCTCCCAGGTAGATTAGCAGATTGCTAACTGTGCGTTCATCATTTCCTTCTTTTCTTTGGAGCCTTGTCAATGTCTGTAACCAAAGTGTCACTGGAAAAGGCAGTGAACTGGGCAGTGATAAAAAATACAGAATAATTTTTGTGAAATAATTACGGGATACTTACTATGTGCCAAGCATAGAAAAAGGTACTGGGAATTCAACAATTAAAAAACAAAACATATATGACTCCTACTCTCAGAGGTCTGACAACTAAATGGGAGAGACATTTTAAAAACTGTTTTTGTGCGACGTGACAAGTGCCCCAGAGGAGCAGTGTTAGGCGCGAGAGGAGCCTGTGAGAGTGGCGCCCACCCTGGACCTGCAGAAGAAGAGCCTGCTTTCTACATGTAACTAGAGGCCATTGTTTTAAGTGAAATAACTCAGAAACAGAAAGTCAAACACCGTATGTTCTCATTGATAAGTGGGAGCGAAATAGCATGTACTGATAGAAAAACAGAGTGAAATAATAGACGTTGGAGACTTGGACAGGGTGGAGGTTTAGAAGGGAACGAAGGATGAAAAGTCACTTAATGGGCACACTGTACACTATTTGGATGATGGTTACACTAAAAGCCCAGGTTTTACCACTGTGCGGTGTATCCATGTATAAACAGTGTGCTTGTACCCTCTACATCTGATAAAAAGGAAGAAGAAAAAAAGTGTGATATCTCATGTGAAAAATAGGTATACATATAATGGAAAGATATATCTATTGTTAGAAAAAAGTAGTTTGTCCTTGCTGGGGTTTGAATGTGTTCCCCAAGAAGCATGTGTTGGAAACTTAAACTCCTGATGCTACAGGGAGATGGGGCTTAATGAAAGGTGTTTAGATCATGAGCTTCAGCTTCATCAATGGATTCATGGCACTTATAAAAGCGCTTGGTGCTGCTCATTTGATCTCTTGCTCTCTGTCATTCACTCTTTGCTCTTTTTCATGACATGACACAGCAAGAAGACCCTTGCCAGATGCCAGCCCTTGGATCTTTTACTTCCCAACCCCCAGAACCGCTAGTCAGTAAAGTTCTGTTCGTTAGAAATGTACTCAGTCTCAGGCTTTCTGTTACAGCAGCACAAAATACGCTAAGACAGTCCTGATGAAGGTAAAATGTATGCCACGGCTTGTAAGTAACACAGAATCCGTTTGTCAGTTACAAGGATTTAGAGTAGACAAAGTGGCTAGAATACCAAAAGACAGGGCAGGAGGCCGTGAGACTTGAGGCAACAAGAAAATTGAGGTGCCGAGTTGAATCTAGCTCAGTTGGTTGGGAGAGTTCAAATTGCTTCTGGTATTTTATCTTCAGTGCTTGTACTGTAGAATATACATTTTGCTTAGAAATGCTCAATTTCTCTTGGAATACACTCATTTAGCAAATATTTATTGTACTATTTTTTATCTGAGGACAGAAACGGTCTGGCTGTTCTCAAGTGTCTTATTTCAGGAAAGAGCACAGCGCCTGAAACACAGTAAGCATACAATGCCTATTTGCTATTTATTTGTTGATTTGCTTTACTCATTAAAATGGGGGCAAAAAGTGTGTCTTTCCAACATCTTAAAAGAATGTCTGGTAGCGAATGTATGTTCAACTAATTTTTATTACATGAATAAATGTTGAGGCTCATCTTATTCTTTCCCTGCCTCAGCCTTAGAATCAGCCATTTCTCCAAAAGTTCTGGTTTCTTTAAGAGGAAGACAGTATTTGAAAGTCAAGGTCTGAGGTCTCTGTGTGCTCATTATTACTGGAGTATCTTATTTCTAGTTCCTTTCAGTGGAGGGAGAGCTAGCAAAGGTAAATTATAGATAGACAGATAGAATAGATAGATAGATACATCTGTAACTATGAGTTCATATTGGTGCCTCCAATTCTAGTCTAATACTTCAGAGTTATTCTCGCCTTCTACCTTTCCATGTTTTAAAGTATGGTTTCCACCTGAGATAAACCTGGCTGTCATCATTTATAAGGCCTTTATTTATTTGCTCAATTAAAGTAATTATTTGCTCAATGTAATGAACCTCCAGACCACCCCTGGATGTCTCCTCCACCTGCCAGTTCCTCACCCGCCTTGAATGCACTTCTGCCTGACTCTCCTTATCTGCTGCAGAATCCTGCATGCCTCCAAGAAGCCTTCATATATGGCTCCCCCTCCCCAGGTAGATCCTGACACCTCCATACCAGGAAGAAAGAAGGAAAAAAATAATTGAAAGAGAAGATGGAAAGGGAAAGTTAGAAAGAAATGGACAGTGGGAAGGTAATATGTTTTATTATTTATTTTAGTCAGGAGTTTGATGAATTACTTTTGCAAAGTCAATTTTGTTTCTTTGCTCTCTTTTTTTTCTGTGTAAAAGATATCCATGGCTAGGCTTATTTGGGTTATTCTAAGCTTATTTAAGTTAGAGTGCTGGTTCTGCATAAAGAAACATCAAATGTTGAACCCTTGCAGGACGAAGGTAAAGAAGCGTGGCTGTGTTATAGAAGCCAATGAAGGTGCAGGAGCAGAAAACAACTGAGGCTCGACCCGTGAGGGCCTGTGAGACTGGGTACTGCCTCCCTCCGCATCCTCAGCTGCCTGGAGGAGAGTGAGGCAATTAATGCTTCATTCAGGTAACTTTCTTTCAGTTCTGCCTCTCACCTCTCAGCCTCCAGGGTAGAAGAGTGGAGGACCCTTACTCCTCCCCACCCGCCCACTACTTGGGTGAGAACATTTTCCATCAGATCCCAGGAAGTTTTCTCACATTCCCTCACCCAATCCGTGGGAACTCTTGTCCTTTCTCTTTCAGAAACCCATGCTTCTGTTGGCAACCCATCCATCTTCATCCCCCGAAACTATCAAGAACTGTGAAGAATCTGAGATGTTTGTCCTACTTGCAAGGTAACAGGTTAGCCTGTGCGTTTCATGAATGAGTTGGAGAAAAAGAAACCTAATTATTCACGCATAGCTAGAAGAGTAAGTTGCACTTTTGCTTTGCTTCCCCTTGTCGATCCAATGTCTGAATATTCATTTTATATTTCATTATCTTGTGTATGAACATTTCAAAGTATCCTTTTGAATTTTCCAGATACACAATAATATTATCATCAAATAATGACAGTTCTTCACGCATATATTCCACTTTCAATAGGGAGAAAATTTTCCGGATTTTAATTATAAAAGAGGAAACTCAGATTCTAGTTCTGGGCATAAATTGTTCCTTTCCACTGATTGATATTTACTGGGTGTGTTCTATGTATCAGAATCCAGGAATCCTCATCCCAAAAAGCAAAGAAAAGGAAGAAGCTGGCGTTTTGTTCATTCCTCAGGAAAAAAAAAATCCATTATTCATTTGTAAATTGACTTATTGATATTTACTGATAAGAAAAAGAAAAAAGTTTGATAGCATTTAGTTTGTAAATAAACATTTGTTTCTTATTTTTGAGGTATAATATATTAAGCGAATTTAGTGTTGAACTGCTTGCTACATTTCATAAAAACATCAATGATGAGAACAGACATGCGAAAGCAATTCAACATTGCCTAAACTGATAAATGCAATTTTATTATGCTAGATTAAATAAATATAATATAGTTTAAATCATATTGTTAAAGAACAAGAGATGTAAAATATGACTACTATATTCATATAATAATACAAATATCTGTGTACGGTTTTACCATTTGAATACATTGACTGGGTAACACTGCTAGATATAAAGCATTAGACAGAATATATCGTGTTTAAAGTGTAGGCTCTGAAATCTGACAGGGTTCAAATCTAGGCAATTTACTGACAAAATGATTGACACTGGGCATGTTGAAATCTCTTGGGAACCGAAGCTGTTCATCTATAAAATGAGAAAAATAGTAATGCCTACCTTACAGGGTTCTCATAGGATTAAAGGCGTTACTGAAGACAGAGTGCTTAGAACAGTGCTTGGCAAAGAGTAAACATTCAATAAATGTGAGGACACGTAAGATGAGATGAGACATTGAATTTAAGCAAAGTGAAAGTCTTTGACCTGACCTCATTTCTGCTTTTGTAGAATTGGCCATTGTACAGTGTGCAGTCTGTACGATTCTAAGTTCATACAGCCTGTTTCTATGGTTAGATGATTCGAAGTTCCAGGTCAGAGACAGGATCAATTGTTAGAAAAGCAAATGGTCATTTGCTTGTTGGCAGGGCAATGATTTGCATTGTTCCAGGAAGGAGGAAGGAACATAAATGTTTTGCTATGAACTGGCCTGTGCCTAATTGATCTGGCATTGTGTAATTTACTAAAACCATATTTGCTTAATTTAGTCCAACATAAACATGGGGAAATGCTTCCTCACCTACTCCCTCTTCCAGTACTCAAACAAAACAAACAAAACAAAACATTCAACTACTATTGAGCTCTTATAAAGGCCAGGCATTTCTTTTGTGAACTAAAGATTGTTTAAATATGAAAGGACTTATTGGGGATTAGAATATATTTAAGAGTTCATCTAACAGTAATGTCTTTGTTAAAAGCCTTCTAAAGATCTGAACTGCGTGTATTTTCTTTTATTGACCAGTTATATCTTAAAGTATTATAAAATAGTAAAGAGAGGAGCTTCAAAGAAAGAAAAAATAAAAAAGAAACGGAGCATCTTTTTTTCTGGTAAAATCTTTATTATTCAAGATAGCCCAGACCAAGAATAATATGCTCTTATTTTTAATCATGTCCCAGTTGTGAAGAAATAACACAATTACACAATTTAATGCCTTGTAGAGCTGAACTGTTGATGGCCCAGCTAAGCAAGTTACTCCGTTTCCATTACCTGTGACTCTACTTTTTCAAAGTTTTATCCTATGACATCGATAAAATTGAGAATATCACATATTATTCCCCTCTACTACCACTCAAATCTTCAAATATATTTGAATCCACCTTCCACAACTCCTTTTTTTATTCTGGTAAGAACATTTAACATGGGATCTACCCTCTTAACACATTTTCAAGTGCACAACACACCACTGTTAATAAGCACAAGATTTTACAACAGACCTCTAGCTCTTATTATCTTGTACAGCTGAAACTCTGTGCCCTTAGAACAGCAATTCCATTTCCCTTCCTCCCAATCAACCCACATTCTACTCTCTCTTTCTGAGAGTTTCAGTATTTTGGATACCTCATGTAAGTGGAATCATGCATATTCATCCTTAGAGTCTTCCTCTTCTGTTTAAGGCCAATTGTTCCATTTGCATTGTAGATCCCATTCTTTCCATGTCTTTGAAGTCTTGTGTTATAAATAATTGGCCCAAGGCTGAAACAAGCTAATGTTTAATCAGTTGGTTTTCAGATTATTAGATCGATGAGAATACCCCATCTTGATAATGCCTTTGAAACATGTAATTGAACTTTAAAAAGTTAGCCCAATATAGATTTTTTCCTATTTCAATATTTAAGACAAATCACATTCACTTCCCTCTGTATTACAATACCTAGGACTGTCAGCTTCAGTCTACTTAATGAATACTATCAGCATTAAAACCAAGGCCGGTGGGGCTGACCAGGAAGAGTTGACCTTGCTTGGGGCCTGTAGAAGTGATGAAGGTCAAGATTCTAAGCAAGCAAAGGGGATTCTTTTGGTGTTATGGAGAACTGGTGCTCTTTCTTTGTAAGGATTTCATTTATGCAGCTTTCGAGTAGCACAAATTTTCTATTTATAACTTTCTTTCATTTTTGAAACCCTAATAAACAATTTAAAATGTCTAAACTTAAGAAACTCTGTAACAAAACCAAATGGTTTAAAAAAATTTGCCCCACTTCAGGCTAGGTACAGTGGCTCACGCCTGTTATCCCAGCACTTGGGGAGGCTGCAGCAGGTGGACCATTTGGGGCCAGGAGTTCAAGACCAGCCTGGTCACTATAGTGAAACCCTGTCTTTATTAAAAAAAAAAAATTAGCTGGGTGTGGTGGCACATGCCTGTAATCACAGCTACTCAGGAGGCTGAGGAATGAGCATCACTTGAACCTGGGGAGCAGAGGTTGCAGTGAGCTGAGATTGCATCACTGCACTTCAGCCTGGGTATCAGAGAGAGAGACCCCGTCTCCAAAATAATAATAATAATAAATAAGATAAAATAAAATAAAATTTGCCCCACTTCAGACCTCGTGGACTTCTTCCAATCCTCAATACCAAAGGCTTTCTTACCACAAGATGTTTAACTACGCTGTGATCTGTGACTAAGATGCTTTCATTCCTCATTCCCTAGAGACTCCCTAAGGGACATAAGGTGTAAATCAATGTTTTGTAACACTGAATCTGAATGGCAGTATAATCCTTTCCCACTGAAACATGCTTTATTCCATGTGGCATCGTTCTTTGTCCCTTTTCTCCTCCATGTCGTATTGCTGATTCAATATTTGTCTTCCCTACTCGAATGTGAACTCAGTGAGGGCAGAGAACAAAGAATTGTGTGCTGTTTTCTAGTATTTTCAGTGCCTAATACTCTATAACAGGGGTTACTAACTCCTGGGCCATGGACCCACAATGCTCCGTGGTTTGTTAGGAACTGGGCTGCACAGCAGGAAGTGAGTGGCTGGCCAGCCAGGGAAGCTTCATCTGTATTTCCAGCTGCTTCCCATCACCTGCAGTACTGCCTGAGTTCCACTTCCTGTCAGATCAGCAGTGGCATTAGATTCTCATAAGAGTGCAAATCCTATTGTGAACTGCACATGTGAGGAATCTAGGTTGTGCACTCCATATGAGAATCTAATGCCTGATGATCTGTCACTGTCTCCTATCGCCCCCAGATGGGACAGTCTAGTTGTAACAAGTTCAGGACTCCCACTGATTCTACGTTATGGTGAGTTGTATAATTATTTCATTATGTATTGCAATGTAATAATACTAGAAATAAAGTGCACAATAAATTATATGTGCTTGAAATCATTGAGCCACCATGCCTGGCCCCAAAACCTATTTTCATCAAAGGAGCTAAAGTAATATAAAAAGTTATATCTGATTTATAGTTATTCACTGAATTACTATCTCTTCAGTTCTAACATAATATAACAACTCATTTACTGAAACATATCTATTAGCTACCATATATGTTAGCAGTCCCCAACTTTCTTGGAATCAGGGATTGTTTTCATGGAAGACAGTTTTTCCGTGGACCTGCATGGGGGTCTGTGGAAAGTTGGTTTTTGGGAATTAAAAAAAGGAAGCAGAGAAACCACTAAAGGAGGTCATGTAGCAAGGTCAAGTAGACAACTGGAAAAATTAGTCTAGAGTGTAGGGGAAAGATGGGACCCAAAGATATGAATTTGTTTTGGGCCTCATTGACAGGTACAATTGACCCTGGAACAACATGGGGGTTAAAAGCATGGATCCCTGCACAGCTGAAAATCCACATATAACTTGACTCCCACTAATCTTAACTACTCTTTTTGACTGGAAGCTTCTTGTTGACTGGAAGCCTTGCCAAAAACAGAAACAGTCAATTAACACATATTTTGTGTGTTATATACTGTATTATTTCACTAAGGTAAACCAGAGTGGAAGCGGCCATCATAAAGGTTTTGTCCTTGTTTTCTTCGCATTGAGTAGGCTGAGGAAGAGGAGGAAAAGGAGAGGGATGGTCTTGCTGCCTCAGGAGTGGCAGAGATGGAAGAGAATCCAGTATAAGTGGACTCATGAAGTCCAAACCCATGTTGTTCAGGGTCAACTGTAGTTCAGATCCACATCAAATATTGGCCAAGCTTAGCCAGTTAGATTCCCATTGATTACGAAATCAGTGCCTGCAGTGCTATTTGCCTTAAAGCTACATAGAATTATTACCTTTAGAATCAGCAGATTCTCTTCAAGTTTCTCTTAAAGATTTTTGATGTGTGACCATAGGGGACTTAAACAAAAAGTCCCAGTATAATTTCCCCTGAGCTTTACGTACTTTCACAAGGCATTTAGATTCAAAACATAAATGCTGTTTTTTTCTCTTATGAAAAAAATATATTTTTTCAACATTTTCTCTTATGAAACAAATAAGTAGCTTTTGTTAGAGCATACAAGGGCTTAAGAACACTACTGTCTATAAACCATAGAGGATTATACACTATGCTTTGGTCGTAAGAACTTGTACTGCCTATATTCCTTTTTTTTTTTTAAGCATTGTAATCATACATACTTAAAGGACACAGTTAGGCTGTACACAGTGGGCTCACACCTGTAATCCTAGCACATTGGGAGGCCAAGATGAGCAGATGACTTGAGCCCAAAAGTTCAAGACCAGCCTGGGCAATATTGTGAAACCCCATCTCTACTAAAAATACAAAAATTAGTTGGGTGTGGTGGTGCATGCTTGTAATCCCAGCTACTTGGGAGGCTGAGTCAGGAGAACTGTTTCAACCTAGGAGGTGAAGGTTGCAGTCAACCATGATGGTACCATTGCACTGCAGCCTGGGTGGCAGAGTGAGACTTTGTCTTCAAAAAAAAAAAAAAGATGGGGAGGGGATACAATTGATGTTTCAATACACACACACACACACACACACACACACACACACACGTACACACATATATATCTATATATAGTATAATGATCAGATTGGGGCAGTGTTACCAGTACCTCATTCATTTATCTTTCTTTTTATGGTGAAGACATTCAAAACCCTCTCATGTAACTATTTTGTAATTTACTAAATCTTACTGTAAACTATTGTCACCCTACTGTGTAATAGAACACCAGAACTCATTCCTTCTTCATTCTTTTCAGATTAAATTAAATTAAAAAATACTTGTAGAGTGCTAAGGACTAATCCAAATGCTCAAGGCACAAAAATGTATATGACATGATCACAGCCCATATTAGTTTAAAATTTAGAGCCACTGTTCTCCCTGTTATTGCAGTCATATAATTTTCTTGCATGATTGCTGCAATTCACATTCTGTAATCAGAGTATAGATCTCAAAATAAAGTGTTGGCTTAATCGTTGTTGTAATCAAATTGAATTACACATTAATGAAACTTACTAGAATTTTCCTTGCATATTTAATTGTATCTCTTCCCAGCCCAAGTCAAAAAAAAAAAAAAATGAACCCTTGGAAGAATTACATTTAGAAGTTACAAATCCTAGTCTAAATATTTAAATACATAACACGAAGAATTTAGACTGAAGATTTATTCTGCTAGGTCTGTTTTTTGACGTAC